ACAAAATCCGTGCAGTCCAAATCATAACGCCAGGCGATCCAGTGTCGAAGCACTGGATATGTGCCGATGCATTCGCCGTAAATCCGAAACGCCATGCAGCCATCATTGAAGTAAAGTACTAAGACAAAATGTCAAGCCGCGAGGCCGACCCGAGTGCAGAATGAAAGTGACTACCATCGTCCAGCGCCGCCGTAGTTGTTGTTGGAATAGAGCGAAGAGAAACCACCTTGGCCTTGACCATACATGCCCTGCCCGGCTATTCCGCCTTGGTGCAGCCTCGCCTGCAAGATACTCGGGTCTTGGACATCGGCAAGACCGCCACCCCCAGAGGAGGAAGTGTTGGCATGCCTATGCTTCTTGCCCTTTTTCTTGGATTTCTGCGAACCAGACTCCTGGTAAGCTCCAGGCGAAGGTCCATAAGGGAAGCTGAGGAGGCCAGGGGCAGGGGCAGGTGTGGAAGTTGAAGGATGTTGATTAAGGAAAGAAGGAAACATTGACTCACGCTTTCCAGCATCAGCTAGTCTAGCACCACCGTCCATGTTACGGCTGCGGAGCAGGTCCTGATACATGGCATCATTGTTGTTTCTCGCCGTTGCGCCAGCCCCGTAGGGTAGACCACCAGTAGCGAAACCGTGGCCTTGGCCGAACATGCCAGTCCCGCTGACCGGGGGTGTGCCAGTAGGCTTGAGTCCTGGAGGGGGTCCCTGCACGTTGGTGAAGAACTGCCCACTCAACTGCTGATGCTGAGACATGGGGTTGAATTGATTGGCATTCTTGGGCATCATCGAGTTTTGCTGGCTCATCAGCTTCTGGTTTGCGACAGGCTGCACATTCGCAGAAGCGGAAGCGCTGTCGTTGGCGAAGCTAAAGCGTGAAGTGTGCCTGGTGTGGCTAGAGGCATTCTGCTGTTGAGGATGCTGAGCACTTGGCATGTTGTTCAGTAGGCCCGTGGCTTGGGTGCCAGACTTGAAGTTGGAGAGCAACAGCTGCTGCTGTTGCTGTGGTGTAAGGCCTCTGTTGCTCAGTCCCAGGCTGCTGAAGTCCTCGGCCAAAGGCGTGTTCTGTCCGAAAAGGCTGCCTCCAAAACCTTGCTGACCAGGTGGTGCAATCGCGTGTTGATTGAGGTGGTTGGTGCTTGTCTCGGGACCGTCTTCGGGCTCTCCGCCTAGCTGCAAGCTGCCGCCAGCCGTTGCTTCGTTGTCTTCACGCTCAGCAGCTGGGGCTTGCTGGGACGCTGCCTTTGCTACAGCAACAGCTTCCGCTTCAACCTCGCGCTGCAGTGCCAGTTCCTTCTCCTTCTTTTCTTTGATGGCACGACGCTTAGCACCGCCATTAGGATCCAGGAGTTGAGGGAACTCGGTGACAGCTTTCAGTTCTTCCTCCGACAGAACGGCGCTCGAGAAGACGAACTTAAAGTCTGGCGAGCAGATGACCTTCAGTAAATCGTGAATACCATTGTCGCGAGGCTTCGGAGGGCGGGCGGCGGGTGCGGGGGTCGGAGCAGGCGGCGGGGTGGCAGCTTTCGATGCTTGTGCAGCCTTCTCCTTTTCCCTCTCTTTCTCCTTTTCTTTTTCTTTTTCTTTTTCTTTGTCCTTGCCCTTCTTCTTTGGTGGCTCAGCTGCCTTCGATGGTTTGGGTGGTTGCGCGGGAACAGCATTCGTGACCATGGGACTGGCGTTGTTCGAAGCGACGGTGGATCGGCTGGCTCGGCGTTCCAGCAACGCCTTACTTCCCCAGCTAGCGGTTGCAGGCAAACCGGGCGCCTCGTATATCGAGCTCGACGTATCGGTACTATCCTGTCGATGCATCGGGATCGCGGCAGCGACAGCAGGACCCTGGTGGGCGGGGGGCGCGGCTCGAGACGTAGACGATTGTGACGGTTGTTGCGTCTGGATTGAGTTCATCATGGAGAGATCTTGGCGAGTGAAGCTGTCGTTATCTTCGCCGGGTTCGTGCAAGAACATGCAATTGCGGTTATTGCAGGTCTCGCCGCGGAGGTACGCCGAGCAGTACTTCGTAGTACCAAATTGAGCCCTGCAAGAAACGTGAGCTTGTTACATGACACGTGTGCATGGATAGAGATTCACATACCTTAAAGTCCTCTCGCCATTCTGAGAACCGTCGACAGCATTGATGCACTTCTCTGCATCTTCCTTGCGAGCGAATGTCACATAAACACCCACCGACTGTTGATGCTGCGCGTTCTCCTTGGCTTTGCTGACGACGATCTTGAGGATCTTGCCGTACTGGCCGAAATAGTCGTCTCCACGAAGGGTCTTGAGGAGTTCGTCTTCGCGTATCGTCGGCGTGAGACCGGTCACGTATACGAGGTTCTTCTGGACGACACGCAGACCCGACAGGTGCTTGCGGCTGAGAGAGTCGGCTTCGGCCTTTTGTGCTTCCTTCTGTCGTATCTGCGCGTTCTTCTTGGCCTTCTGCGCGATGAGCTGCTTGTGTTGTGCCATCCTGGGCAGTGTCAGATGTGTTTAGGGATGGAAGGTGCAGGGGACCCACTCTTCGGGGGAGATGGTCTTCCACTCGATCGTGGAGTCATCGTAGGGGCGGCGGCAGGCGGGACACAGTCCGTTCATGGTCGTCTTGATGTTGTTGTAGCAAAACTGACATATCTGGCACGTGGGTCAGCATGGGATTCGAGGTGGTTCACCGAGTTTTGGCACAAAGGCGTACTTGGTAGCCGCATGGGCAGGGGCGGAAATTCCTGTCCGAGAGGTCGAACTCTTCGACACAGAGCGGGCAGCACTCCTCCTCGTCATCGTCGACGAACTGGTCCTGCTGCAGTCGAGACATGGTGGTGTGTGGTTGCGATGTGTTGTTGAGAGCGGGTGGCGCTCAAAGTAGAGATACGTGGGGTGAGACGAGACCTGGGGGGTCGGGACGAGAGGTCAGTAAGGAAACCGCGGAAGTACAAATAAACGCCGGCCGGAGTGTCGCTGTCGCTGGAAGAGGGATCCACAGGAGGTGATGGGGGTTAAGAGGCTGCACCTGCGCGATGGCACACCAGGTTCCGCTTAACGCTAGCGACTTACATAAGCGCGCATTTGCGGGTGGGAGCTGCGAACTCGACGACGTCGACGACATCACCACCCGCAGTCGCCCTCACCTGCTACATCGCGTAGCCTCACCACTCTCTCACCGCACACAATGGCTATGCGGCTAGCTGTCGGCCGGCCATTGGGCGCCGCCGTCCGCGCCTCGGGCTCCTCCCGCCATGCAGTTCGCACCTTTGCCTCCACGGCTCTCCGGGCAAAGGAAGTCGCGGGTCCCGAATCGGAAACGCCAAACATGAGGGTGCGCATGTCACATGATATGGCGAAGACGTGGTTTCTAATGTGATCGCAGTTTGCCCCCCGCGACGAGACCGTCACGCTCAAGCGCGCGATTGTGAACCCGGCCGACCACTACAAAGAGAAGGGCGAGGCTCTGCACAAATATGGCCAGTACATCATGTCATGTCTGCCGAAATACGTCCAGCAGTATGTCAATCCACATCTGGGAGTAACTACCGTCTGACCACGCCCAAGATTCTCCGTTTGGAAGGATGAGTTGACCATCTACGTCCCGCCCGCCGGCATCATCCCCACCTTTACCTTCCTCAAGTACCACACCGCCGCAGAGTACACACAAATCTCAGATATCACCGCCGTCGACTACCCCACCAAGGACCAGCGCTTCGAGGTCGTCTACAACATGCTCAGCATCCGTCACAACTCGCGCCTGAGGGTCAAGACGTACGCGGATGAGGCCACTCCAGTACCCAGTCTGTGCGATCTCTACGATGGTGCCAACTGGTACGAACGTGAGGTCTACGATCTGTTTGGTGTCTTCTTCGTTGGACACCCGGATCTGAGGCGAATCATGACCGACTACGGTTTCGACGGCCACCCACTGCGAAAGGACTTCCCCATGACTGGATACACTGAGATCCGATACGACGAGGAGAAGAAGAGGATTGTCGTAGAACCCCTGGAGATGACACAGGCTTTCAGGAACTTCCGTGGTGGCTCATCAGCATGGGAGCAGGTCGGTCCTGGTGATGATCTCAAGCCGGAGAACGTAAGCTATCCTTCATACCACATTCTCGACTCAACCTCTAACAGACACGTAGTTCAAGCTTCCAACACCAAAGCCAGAGCCTCCCAAGGAGGGAGAGCAAAAGAAATAGAAGATTTAGAGATTTTGGATTGTATATACCTGCGAATGAACGTGCTTGTACAACATCCGATGGCCCACAACGTATACCAGCTGCTGTGATGATCTGCTCGGTGTAGTTGCTTCACTTGTCGGCGCTTTTGAATCTGCACAATCCAGGTTGCACGTCGGAGTAAGATTCACAAGACTTTCAGATGGAATTAGCCATGCTAGGCACGTGTCCGACTACTGCAGCCCGATCGTGTCTCGTATTTCGTATTTGAAGTCTCGATACTCATGCCAAGCAGATCTCGCATTTCCCCGCCCAATCAGGGAAGCGCCTAGCACTGCACCTTCCTCCGTCAGTTCCCACTTGTCGGGTAAACATCGGTACCCGCTAGACAACGTCTTGCATGATCTGCCGTAGCATGGCTTGATGTGTAAGACGAACCACCATAGCTACCCATCGGAAGTCAAATCTTGCACGTTCTCACCCGGAACAGTACCCCGCTTTCCCCGTCTGCATCGCAACATGCCGACATCCCAGGATGAGGAGGCTTCGGGGTAATCTCCTTTGGTATCCTGAGTGGGCTCTTGAGCATGGGTTGCTCCACCGCCATCACATTCATCCAGCTGTATCATACCGACGTTCTACCGTACTTCCGACTTCCAGCCAATCGCATGCGTTACCATACTTTAGCAGTAATCGCCGTCGTCACACCCGTAGAGCTGTCTTGCATCACTGCGCCAAGGTATAAATACAATCAGGATTCCATAGATTAACATGCATCACCAAGATGAAGTCCTCCATTCTCTCTTTCCTCGCAGCTACAGCCACAGCCGCAGTCACCATGTCCAACACGACTACCACAACCATCAAGCCTTTCAGCCTCTCGGCTCCACCAAACACTGACATCTGGCGCAAGCCTCCCATGCACAACGCCTTCAATGCATCGACCTACCCAGAGCAGCTCCCAACCTACACTCTGAAGAACTTTCAGCGAGCGCAGCTGTCGTTCGAGCTTCCACCATCCGACCAACTCCGCCAATACGACCAAGCCGGCCTCTTGCTGCATGTCACCAAGCCAGGTGTTCCAGACAACCAAACCAAATGGATCAAGACTGGCATCGAGTTCTATTACGGAAAGCCCTACGTCGCGACCGTTGGCTGTGATGCTTGGGCTGACTGGTCGCTTACACCCATGCCTGAGTTCAAGAACGGTACTATGCCTGGTGCTACCATTGAGGCGAGGAGGGAGAGCGATGCGCTCGGTAACAGTCTTTGGATTTACTGGATCATCAAGGATGAGGCTGGCAAGGAGGTCAGCAGGCAGCCGTTGAGAGAGGTCACCTGGGTTCTTGCGGAGGAGTATGAGCGATGGAGCGTCAGTATCGCAGGATACGTTTGTCGCCCGACCACGGCAGGTGGCGATGGGATGCTTGAGGCGGAGTTCAAGGACGGTCTGGAGATCGAGACTCTCAATCACGTGTAAGGGAGGTGTGTGAGCTGGACGTTTGTTAAGGTACGTGATGTCGTCACCTGCGGTTGCGATAGTACCTGACAGCAAACAGTAGATAGTGTATAAGTCGCAGTGACGCGTGAATAGCCAGTACATATCTCAATCTGATATCGTTTACCTCCATATATACGAACTTCCCCGCATGTATTTTGCTCAATAAGGCTATCAAATCCATATCTTACGACTGCAGTGAGTACGACATGACCCAAGTCTGCTTCCAGGAGAGTCAAGTGAGCCACCACTGGCTCGTGAAAAGGGTCAGCCGAGCGTAAGCGATGGTTTCTCTCATTCATTGATCAAAGCAAACTCACTGCGCCTGCCTAGAGAGCGCACTGACCTCTGGGCTATATATCCTCATCGATTCTTGTCTCTTGATCCACGCTTCCTCTTCGACAAGAATAGTCATTCAGTTCAATACCCTCAGCGATTCTGCGACCATGGTCAACGTTCAGCTACACTGCCCGTCCACGAAGAAGACCGTCGAGGACTTCTTCATCACGCCATTCCAGTCTCTCGAGCAAGTTCTACCAAGTGTACGACTTGCCTTCGACATCAAGTACGCGGCGCTCTACACTACCGAAGCCAAACGAATCATGGAACCAAGTACCCTCCAAGAAGACCAGCGGGTATTAGTAGCGGCCAGCGCCATGGAGGTTATGCTACCCGATTCGCCATCCGAGTGGGTGTTGTATGACGGCCAGGAGGGCAACGATGTCGACCCAGACGTTGAGTGTTATGGTCTTGGGTGGGAAGTAAGTATACAATGATCTCTATCAACGATGAAGCGAAGTTATTAACCAGGATGTAGGAATTATGTGATCTCGACAAGTGCCTACACATCATCAGCCTGAACAAGCAGAAGCCTGCATCTCGCAATAAGATGCGTATCACACGCGAGTACAAGCCTGTTGAGGCCGACATTGACGCCTTGGATTCCGCAACTTCAACTACGTCAAGTGTTGCCGAAGACGAGGACCACATCGAGAAATGTTGGGGCGTCGCTGTCGAGCAGTTCCTTCCTACGTCCATGAAGCCCGCCGCCGCCAAGTCCAGCAGCAAGCCCTGCGACCCGTCCACACTGGCTGTCCTAAGCATCCTCGCAGGCTTCACTCAGGGCCAATCTCGTCTCGTCCTCGAGGTACTTGAAGAGGCGGTCGCCCTTCGGACTGAAGAAGACCAAGGCGACGACAAGGATCCCGCTTTGCAGAAGGGTGATGTCATCAACGCCATTATCCTTGTCTACGAAAAGGCTGAGATCATTGAGGCTAAGCTGACCAAGGGCAAGGGTGCAAAAGGAAAGGGAAAGGGGAAGAGGCGGCCCTCAAAGGGCACTCCGAAGAAGCTTGGCGCTATGTCGAGTTGAGTGAAGTGACGGATGGACGAGGCGGCTAAAAGACAGGTGTAGTGTTTACATGGAGTTACTTGAGCGAGCGAGGATATACCCGGAGTGTTTTGAAAGTGATATTGGGGGTGAGAGGTCTTACCTAGGCGGCTACATTGGTTTGTACGGTATACATCAACTACGGAAGATATCTATGTAGCTGGGAAGACAGGCTACTGAGTACAATTGCAATGGATCTATCAAGTTTGTGTTTGCCTAACAACCGTCTTCATTACCAACAAGCAGAGACATCAGGATATGTATACTCATGTTTTCCGATACACCCCCTCACATCTTTCACATTCCTCCCCACCCACACGACCAGAGAATGTCAGGACAACCACCGCCAAGTGTGCAGCCAACAAGTGCGCAAGCTACGGTAGAACCCGCCATCTCTAGTAAGTTCAACCCCAAAGCTATTTCCCAATCAAGACGTACCAGTTCTCTGACCAAGCAGGCCAATGGCTTCTAGACAAGCTCAAGAAGACGTCCCGTCAAGACAGAGAAGATTGTACGTCCACCATCCAGCTCACCTATGCACCCTCCTTCCACCATCTCTTTTCCTTTAGCCTATCACTCTACCTCCCTATACCCCGACCTTCTGTCCTTATAAACCAGTCTCACCCATCCCACAGACCTCCGCATCCTCCGCTTCCACATCAAAGAAAGCGCTGCAGAGAATGCATTGCAACAAGCACGCAACACCACAATCTCCGAATTCGTACTACAGAAACTTCAGAAACTTGAAGGTAAACACCCGGAACACGAGGTCGATGCGGCGAGGGAGTATGAGAGAATGACGAGGTGGAAGCTGCTAGTTGAGAAGGCTGTCAGTGATGCTAAGCATGAGGGTCTCATGGAGTTGGTTAGGAGGGTTGAGGAGCTCACGGATGAGGGTGGGGGAATTTAGATTGAGAAGGCACATGAGCACGATGGGTGCGTGGCTTGCGTGCTCCTTGTTTTGGTAGATCGATGTAACGAGTAGCAAGCCAGAAAGCCTATTGAATCCATCATGAGGTCGAGTTTGTGTTTGTTCACCAAGCACCTCCAGTACTAACTAATAAGTATCGCAAGTATATATGCGACCGCATACACCAGTGTCATGTACTTACCAACATCTTCACTCCATCCATCACACACCCAAAGGACATCATACCAGACATATCGCTTAAGTATCTCCAAACAATTCGATCAACATGGCCGAACAAGAACAGCCACCAGGCCTGCAAATCTACATGCCCCAGGGGGATAAGCTCTCTCGTAACAAAGCCCCCAAAGTCCCTTCCTAGAAAAGCCAACGACTTGCTGACTCGATACCGTAAAACAGTGACAGACTACTTGGATTTCCTCCAGACCCAATCGCGACGTACTAAAGAACAACGTACGTACACCACTCAGCCTATATCGTCTCGCTCCTCGCAAAGTCGCCATCGACGCATTCTAACACATGTATAGGCCTTATCGTTCTGAACAAGTACCTTGCCAAGAGCTTGCAACAGTTTGCTGAGCAGTGTGAACGCGAGGAAGCAGCCATAGAACTCGCTCAATCACAAGCCGACGCTATGGAAGAGGGCGAAGAAAAACAGCGTGCGGTGGTGCAGCTCGCGGTGAAGTTGGGGACCAGGTTTTTCGAGTCGTTGGTGGAGGCTGCAAGACATGACGGCTTACAGGAGTTGGTCGAGACGGTTGAGGAGATTGTGCAGAATCATGTGCCAAATGAGGCCGATGCTGCTCACTTGTAGACGGACAGAGCAAGCTGAGTTTGCAGTTCGCATACCCTTTGTCTTGATTGACCGACGTAGTAAATAGCAAGCAGTGCCATCACATATATTCCGGCAGTGCGATACTCCTTGGCTCAGAATCTCCATCAATCTTCTGTCAGTCAGCTCTCCCTCAGTCACAAACTCACATCTGACCTCTGCATCTAATATGCGGCATCCGGAAAGCACCAACGACTTGCGAAAAGCGCCAACCATGATTACAGATGCGGATCACCTAAACCCACCCATTCGTTCAAGCGTATCCAGTGAGTGCTACCGCAACTTCCTTTTCCGAGGACAAAGCAGCAGACTAACGAACAAAAAACAGGCTCATGGTTCACTTCCAATCTCCCCAACATGACTCTCAAAGATCGAAATGCCTGTACGTGCCTAGCTCCCCTCCTTTTCCTCACCCTGTTCGTTCTTCTACCTACCCGTACCTAGACATCGCTCGCTTCACTTTATCATCTCACACAGTCCACCTTATAGCTACCCGTGGAGCTCGAAATTTCTGATACGCATACAGATGAACGAACCCTGAGCTCCTACGTCCAAGACAGCATTGTCGAGAGAAAATCAATCACTGACAAATCCGACGATTACATCAAACGGGAAAAGGATTGTGTCGAAGATCTGGAAGAGCAGCTAAAGCGTGCGAAGGGGAAACTAGAGGAAGAGAGGCAACGGATCGAGCTCGAGAAGGTAGTACATGATACTAAGCACGAAGGCTTGGTGGAGTTGCTGAGCAAGGTCAACCAAGCGTTGTGGCGGAAAAACGTAGAGTGAGAGGATTCAGCGGGTTTGCGGTTTGTCGACCTACCTGTCATGACACCAATCGACGGGTTATATAGCAAACCGCACGCAGCCTATACATTCATGACACTACGCTCTCTTATTCGCAGTTTCCCAGATCCGTCTCTCTTCTACCAATCCGCTATTGCACCTTGATCCACCAAACTACTTTCCACATCTCCATCCCAAGGCCCCTCTTCATAAACCGAAACCAAAATGTCCGACGACGAAGAAGCTCCACTCCCCGCAACCATCGAGATCGATAGTAGGCAACCTTCCCTCCCCCCTCTTGCAGAACCGCTACCGTAGCCATAAAAAGGTGCCAGCTAACCAGCCCCTCCTCAACAGCAGCATGGTTCCTTTCCAAACTCCCACAGCTGTCGTATGAAGATAGACATGAATGTAAGTAACCATCCCCATGCCACCTGCGTATTCCAACACAGCCAAAGCACGCTACTGATCTAACCTAATCCTTACACAGACAACGGCGTTCTCGTCCATAACATCGAAACCATGATGGAAGAGTTGGGAATGCCCGACCCTGATCACCACGCCGCCAATGTGAACGCCGATGCTGAAGTCGTGGCAGCAAGGAGATCAGTTGCGCAAGCGAAGGAGCTGCTGAGGCTTGCGGAAGAACGTTTCCATCGTGTGCATGATATATCCATTGCTCTGGGTCAGGAGAAGGGTAGGAAGATTGGAGCCTTGCGTACGCTAATGAAGAAGACTAAAAAGGCTATGCGGGAGGAGGGGTGGACAGATCTTGGGGAGGCAAGTGAAGAACATGATGAGGGCTCTGATAGTAGCTGATTTCCATGCTGTAAAAGAACCTGGTGATATGTAGATTTGGTAGATGATGCCTTACACGTTACTTACACCCCAGACCCACCCATCTCATTCCTGATCTTCATTCCCCTACGCCGCCTGCGCAGCCCTCAGCCCTCCCCTCTGTCCCGCATTCCGACTCCTCACCTCGGTCTGCCCAACCTCCAAATGCGTGCCTGTCCTGCTCTTCTCGAGCGACACAGCCGCCCGGTCAGTCACTTGGATATAATCCTTGGCATCACGCTCCACCGCACCAGGAGTAGAGACGTGAATACCCTCAACGAGAACCTTCTCATCATCCGGGATCTCCAGTGTAGTCTCCTTAATCTCGGGGCCTTGTGTCTTTGTGCCAAAGGGCGGGTCGAAGCGCTTCCGCAGGGTTTCGATCATCTTGCCGAACCAAAACCAGTTCAGGCCGTTGAGGATGATGTTGGAGGCGAGGTAGGCGGTTATGAGCCAGAGAGGGACAGTTTGGCCTTCGGCGAACCGGAGGATGTCGTGTTTGAAGCCGGCGTTGTGAAGGGTGGTGTTTTGCGATAGCTTTCCGACGTCTGGGTCTGAGTGCCTGTATGCGCCGGCAGCGTAGGCGTGGTAGACGTCGGTAAAGACGCGGATGGAGTTGTAGGATCCCCACACGATGCGGCAGGAGAAGAAGGTGCATAGCAGGATTATGCCGTTGACGAGCTGGATAGTGGTGCCCGTCATGTTGAGCTTATCGCAGAACCAGTGGATGTTCAGGAAGGGCGAGGAGAGTTCGTAGAGGATAAAGGTGCACGCGTAGTAGTTCACGAAGGGACGCTGTCACACGATCAGTACTCTGAATAGCTCCCATATGCTCTGGAAAGCACCGTGGTCTACTTACGAAACCCAGCGAGAATACGCAGAGGGCACAGATAGCATGGAACAGCATGCCGGTACCGAATGCCTTGACATTCTGCAACGTGATGACCAAGTCCCATAGGAAGTAGCCTCCTGCCATAGCTTGGATCAAGCCAGACGCTCCAGTATATCCATGCACGCGCTCCGTCGAGTCCATCTGATTCAGCTCCTTATCCGTCCACATGACCCATAGCGCCATTCCGCAGACCAGCGTGCTCTGCACAAATGACACGATGTGCACATCCCAGTTGAGTTTGGTTCGCGCGGTGAAGTTGGCGTATATCCGCGGGAAGAAGAAGCGTGAGATGGCGGGGGCGCCGTAGCTGAAGATAATCTGGTAGAACGTGAAGGCTATCGCGACTTCGTGGAAGTGCAGCGGCAGCGACTTCATGTTGAGGAAGTCGGCGACGGGCTGTACATATTTGACCAGGCTCTCCGGCGGCGCGAAAGGGAACGGGTCGTGCATCGTGGCAGTCGAGTGTGGGGTGCAGCAGACGCGGAGGTAGGTGGAGGTGGAGGTGCGAGAGTGATGTCAGGGCGGTAAGGGTTGCACGCGAGCAGGAGCGATGGTCCCTTCTTATGCAGGGAAGCAGCGGAGGGGCGTTCGGCAGGAAGGCAGAGCAAGAGCGGTTTTATAGTCGGGTAGATACGAAGATCCAAGGCCGCGGCGGCACAATGATGCACGCCGCTCGAGGATGCCTGGGAAAAGGTGCGGATGACGACCAAGCTTGGTGCAGTCCCTTGTTCTAGGCCGAGATGCGATTAGCGAGCCGAGGACCCATCGCCCTGCGCCAGAGGCACACGACAGATTTCATGTCCACCGGGTCATTTTTGTGGAATGCTAAATCACTGCCACGGGACCACGTCATGTTGGACGCTGTTGGAGGTGTTTGGGTACAATGCACCGCCACTAGAGGCGTCATGCCGTGACAAATCTCACCCTCTTCGGAGGCCGCATCACCGCATACAAGGAAGAAGTTGAACACCTAATAGAAGTAAATAGCTCAGAGGTTTTCATTGACTTGGCTAACTTTCGTTTCATAATAGAGTAGACTGCAGTGCAGCTGGCTGGCGTTTCCCTCGTAGAGGTGGTAGTGGGTATCTTAAAGCAATAATGTGATGATGATGATGATGAAGACGCCGCGCTCAGAGCCCATCAAGTCTGACGTTCTGATTGTGCCAGCAGTTGATGCATTTATCCACCTTCAACCTCGCAGCGTATGCTACGAGGAACATCTCTGCAACGTACGATGTGCTCTCGATTCTGTCGAGAAGGAAGTAGAAGTCCTGCAAACTCCTATAGCTGATGATCCGATTGCTATGACCGAGTAAATTTGCCGGGTGGGCGGTGAACTGGCTCTGTTGTGCGGCCGGTATAGGTGAGTTGAAGAGGGCATTCATGCGTCTAGCCTCTTCCATGGAAGATACTGGCGGCGTAGGTAGCCCAGAAAGATAGTCCGGCTGAGCAGACGCATGATCATGTGATGCCATGTTGGTTGGTCCTGTCCATCCTCCTGTGTTCCCTCCAGGCAGAAGGGTACCTGCTGCTCTGTTTTCGGCCAGCCCTCCTTCCATATCCAACTGTGAACCTATCCACAATGACCACACAGCTTCTGTCAAGTTGTCATGTGTGTGTACAACGTTAAAAGCGAACCCCATCTCGTGCTCGTTGTTGAAAGGATAGTGTCTGTTGGTCTGGCTATGCCTCCCACCAGGGAAATAGTCTTGGCAAATGACAGTGGGATTTGAGACGCCGAGTTCGTCGTTGACCTGCTTGTTGAAGTATGCGTTGCGATGCTTCTCACTCATCGACACCAGTCCTTCTTCCCACATAAGTCGCTCGGCGACTAGGAAAAGTTTACGCACGTGGGCATGCGCCTCACGCTTCCCTCTGCAGATGGGGCAACAGTAGAATGGCATGTACTGAAGGTTTGGAGTTTGCGTGGCATGTGCCTTCATTCCTGGTAATGGATATGGAATGAAGTCTTGCCGCGGGAATGGTACAGTCGCGGGCGGTGCTTGGCCCCGACTCGTGCCCGGTCTGCGTCTTCTCTCAGTCTCAGCAATGAAGCCATTTTCGAAGGAGATTTTGGAGTCTTCCGGGTCGGCCAGAGGGTCGCATGCCGGGTCAATTGGGCAATTGCCAGGATTGGAAGCCATGGTGAGTAAGTTGTAGGAGAGAGAGGCGAAGAGGACTCATGCTTTACATGAGTCTGTCAGGCAGCCTTTTACATTCGTATCTGAAGCCCTGACCCAGCATGAACATGAGGATGTATTACGAGTACTTACGAGTGTCTCGCTGGGGCTTTAAAGGGTCACCGCGGTACCGTGGTCGTGAGCGGGCCAAGGTGAGAGGACAGGCGAATAGACACTCTGCCCTCAGGTATTGTTGAATTACCCCACACAGTTGCCATCTTACTCGTCTGAACGATCCTCAACAGACACCTGCTGCGAATAGTACACCCATGTAAGGCGGAGTGAGAGAGTGCGGGGAGGTTTCGTGACGCGACTTACGCGACGGCAGCGTGCAGGGATCAAGGATGCTCAAAAGTTAGGAAGGCGCGAAAGCGGGACACAGAAAGAGATTCGACTGAGGTTCTCATGTCACAACCATGAAAGCTGTCCGACCATCTTTCCGCGCCAATGCAACATGTCAGAGGCAGATCTTCTGCACCAACGTAACGTCATGTCGAACGAGTTTAATACCACGCCGAGCATACACACGACCCGCATTCGCACCGAAACCCACCATCGACATCAAACACATCCGACAGAACCCAGGACTATATGAGCAGAACTGCATAGACCGCAACTATGCCGCACACAGCAAATCGTCATGGCGGATCATAGAGCTGCACGAGCAATGGCTCGCACTCCAGCAAAGCAGTCGCGACCTACGAGAGCGCAACAATCGCATACGAGCCACTCTAGCTAGGACAGCATCGCGCGCCAAGGACGCCGACGGCAAGCCGGTAGCCTTGAGAGAAGGATTGATCAGCGATGCAAAGGCATTGAAGGCAGAGTTGAGCTCTATCGAGGCACAAGAGTCAGAGATCCAAGAAGAGATAGAAGGGCTGGCGCAGGATCTGCCCAACTTAAGCAGCACATGCACGCCCGTCGGCACCGAAGCAGATGTACTCGGCTACATCAACGAGTCGTCGAAATCACAAAATCGCAAGTCGCACGTCGACATTGGGCAGGAATTGGGAATCCTTGACTTCTCGGGCTCAGCGCAGACTTCGGGCTGGGGCTGGTACTTTCTGGTCGGAGACGGTGCAGTGCTGGAACAGGCGCTCGTACAGTACGCCCTAGGTGTTGCTAGGAGGAAAGGATGGAAAGCAGTCGCACCTCCATCCTTGGTGTACTCACACATTGCATCTGCATGCGGGTTCCAGCCGCGCGATCAAAACGGGGAGCAACAGATCTATGCCATTGAGCAGTCAGAGAAGGACAAGGCGAAGCCGCAACTCGCGCTCGCCGGGACTGCAGAGATACCGCTTGCTGGCATGAAGGCCAATCAGACCCTGGAGGAAGCGGAGCTGCCGCTCAAGGCAGTCGGTGTGAGCAGATGCTACCGTGCTGAAGCTGGCGCAAGAGGAGCCGACACAAAGGGCTTGTACCGTGTTCACGAGTTCACCAAGGTTGAGATGTTTGCCTGGACGACGCCCGACAACATGGGTGAAGACCACTTTACTACTCCAACGGCACCGAGCTCAGAGTCAATCTTTGACGAGATGCTGTCGATCCAAAAGGAGATACTAGAAGCACTTGGACTGCACTGCCGCATCCTCGAAATGCCCACAACCGACCTCGGTGCCAGCGCGACGCGGAAAATTGACATCGAAGCCTTCTTCCCATCCCGAGAGAAAGAGGAAGGATGGGGCGAGGTGACATCATCGTCCATGTGCACAGACTACCAGAGCCGACGACTACAGACTCGCATGCGCGTGAAGGGAGGCAAACTAGAGTTCCCGTACACGCTCAACGGAACAGCACTTGCTGTGCCCAGAGTCCTCGCAGCCATTCTGGAGAACCACTGGAACGAACAGGACAGCACGGTAACAATACCAGAGGTACTGCGACCGTTCATGGGTGGGCAAGAAAAGATACAGGCGGAGCGTCGTTGATGGTGTGAAGAAGTACTGTACGATATGTATCATGTATCTAGACTATGATGTCAGGTGGTTGGGTGTTGCTGGTGCCGCAACTAGATGCGCGACACCACTCAAGCACGCCAACCTAGGAGAAAACTGAACACCCTGGAGTCTACGTTGACGTTGGATCACCTACTTTGCAAGTTTTTGACTTAATGTAGTCTGCAGACCTGTCCAGGTTTTTTCTTGTATGAGGTGCAAGAAACATGCAGTCAACACATCCTATGGCCACAGCCGTCTACAAAACCACGCTGCTCGCCCCCTGCATCAACTTTCAAAGCTTCGGACCGTCAGATGCTTGCACTCCCCTGTTTTGGCCGCGACATCCCAGCTGGCCACCATCGAGGCTGACTCTGCGCTTGGCCCGGTTATGGCCGGCGATTGGCGCACAGCCTCCAACCTGTTCGAGGTGGGTGGCAGGGTGCATGAGGCCAGGTGCATATTGGATAGCGGCCATGTGAACAACCGCCACAGCCACTGCTGTCTGGTGCTGCACGGCTCCTGAAACATTTTCTCAAGACCGCACATGCGTCGCAAAGCAGCAGAGTCTACCCTGTCGCGCTGAACCGGTTCTGGGCCAAGGTCCACCTTTGGCGCCATCGCATTCGAGGTGGGGTGGTTAGCGGGCCATTCTCGTCTACGGCCTACGCACCAGCCTCCAGCGCTCACCAGCATCAACAACCCGGCCGCCCACCACCAGCCTGCCTGCACCGCGAGCTGCACCGCTGCGTGCAACCACCGCACCACGCAGCTTTGTTGCTGTCGCCACCTGCCGCCGCCCTCGCAGTGTCACCCGCCTCCAGCCATCCGCGACCTGTCGCAATATTGTTGGAACGCATCATTGTCGCAAACCACTCCTTCGGCCACCCCGAGCACCACAACACCAGACCCGGATATCGAGATAGCAAACGTCGCGGCGCATGGTTTCCTACCCAGACTCGGCGAGTGCAGAGCGCTCACTGCCCATACGGCGTCCCTCGTCGGTTGTGTCGCACTCGTCGCGCGCATCCACCGTCCGCAGACATCGCCAGCACCGCTCCAATGTGGGCGGCTCGTCGCTAGCACCCCAGAATGAGTTCCCCGTGTTCACGCATACCGGCGACGTCGAGATCGTCATCAGCAATGGGCGGAAGGAAATGCGTTATCTGCTGCACAAGTTGATTCTGACGCAGTGCTCGGGCTTCTTCGAGGCTGGCACGAGCGATGAGTGGGCGACTGCTGGTGATGTGACCAACGCCGGCCCCAGCAACGGCACCGCCCTGTCGAGGATACCATCAGGATCACGACCCGAGCAGAAGCGGAAATGGAGGTACGAGATGGATTGGGGCAGCGGCGATGACGACCTGCCCATGCTCGTGCAGAAGGTGTGTTTGTTTACCGTCCGCGACGGCGACCATGCTAACGAGAGTGCAGAAGAACCAGCCTACCATGTTTGGCGGCGATCCAAGTCCACCTGTGCAACCCCCTACTGCGCGCAACAAGCCTGCCGCACCGCAGTCAGGCTTCTTCCGGAGCATGGCCAACTTCTCCACCCTCCACGTGCCCGCGACAGCCACCCCCGAGACCGACCCCGACGACGACACCTTCCGCGACTACGACAACCTGTTCCGCATCTTCTACAACTACCCTCCCACGCTCGACTCTCTCAACATCGCGAATGCCTACGTAGAGTGCAAATCGCTTCTGCAGCTCGCCGACATGTACGACGCGCTCGGCGTCATCGGACCACGCGTAGACCATCATCTGCTGCGTTTCCAAGGCCGGTTATGGAAGCAGATCGCGAAATACCCGCCCAGCTACCTCAAACTTGGCTACATGGCACGGAGTAAGGCCATCTTCGCCGAAGCCATGGTGCACGTTGTCGGACAGTGGCCACAAGGCATCAATCAGCTACGCGGCCAGATCGCTGAGCCCGTGATCGAGCTGATAGAAGACAAAGTCGACGAGATGGACGAGCTCAAGGCCAAGATTGAAGTCAAGCTCTTCCGCCTATCCCTCACAACTAGTCGCGGCGAGCGTGTGAGCCCATCGAGCAACTGGCTGGACTGGATAGCAGTCTCCCTATTCCGACAATGGCTCGCCGAAAACACCACGCCACCCCCGGCCCCGATCCTCAAATCGCCACGACCCCAGAACTCGAGAGACGGTGCGCCGCTGCCACCTCCACCAGTCTTCAACACCGGCCGCATATTCCGCTTGCTCGGCCAGGCCGGCTCAAGTTACCTCAACCACGATGAATGCAAACGCTTCCTGCGACTGAACCCCGACCATTACAACCGCGACAACCTGAAGCGCTTCGAACGCAGGATCGAAGAAATCAAGGTCAAGGCCAAAGACGCAGTCAAGCCGCTGATGCGCAATTTCCTCGAACTCGACCTACGAGAGGGCGGACTTCCCTATTTGACATGCACAAGAATCGATCCGCAGGACTTCCCATGGGACGACATATAAGACTGGAGGGAGTAAACGACTACATTGATAAGACACACCCACTCGCTTCGACGTTTATAGATTGGCAGCAATCTGGCGCTCTTTATGATCTATTTGGCTTTTTTTGGTTTTGTTACGGATGCGGGATGTTTTGGCGCCTGATACCCTAGGATGTTTACATGTAAATACGCCGTTGTTGTTGATTTCCTTGTTATTCCCACCACCCCGATTTCCTTGACGATTTGATGATGTGGGAGAGATAGAGAGATGTGTATGTATGTAGAAGGAGAGATGGTAATTATCGTGTGTAAGAGAAGGAAGAAAAGAAGAAGAGGGTATATGCTGGCCGTGTGCTTTCTTCTTCTTTATCTTTCTATTGGGGTAGATGAAGAGAGGAGATGAGATAATCGACATTTCCAGATTCCTCCACTTCTCTAGTGACATCCCCTGTTCGTTGTCTTACACTGCCGAGCCAATATCCCCTTTCATGCGGGCTGTGGGTAGTGATCGCCCCTCGGTTCACATGTCCGCTCCATACCTGCATCCTACGGGCTCGAAATACACACTACCATAATTCCTTCTTTCGGTCCCTGGTATCAAGAGATAGCATGCGGTACGTACTGCACCCGGGCATCCGAGCGAGATAGGCTCAGGGCGGAAGGCTTGTAGCTATCTGCCGTCATGATCGACGCTGCAGCCGCGCCAAGCCGTGGTAGCGTGTGGGGGCTGGTGACGCGATACGGTGGGTACGGCGAGGATGGAGAGATAGGGCGGAAGGATGGGGATTGTTTTACGGAATTCTGGAGTTGACATCGATGGAATCGATGGGTTGATTGGAAGTGTTAGTGCTGGTATTGGTGGGTGGGGAAGATCGCCGAGGTGACTGGATCGTTGATCGTTGCTCGCTTGTCATAGAGATTGGAAGATGTGGAAGATAACGTGGCTAACATCAATGACAGGCATGCCAAATCTGTCTGTCAGGTTGTGGGTGTTTCTGGGGCTGAGTATGCAGGTACCGTTTCAAAATCTGAAGGTATCGAAAGAGATCACTACCTGGCCATCTCTGTCATGACCTCAACCACCGAATCTCACATACAAGACCTTCACTACCTACGACTCCACTGTACACTTTTCTTTACAGCGTTTATGCAGGACAGAACCAAACGAACAACCTCCGATAACACTACCCCTAATCACTACCAAGCATTTCCAAGAACCTGGATTACTCTTCTAGTTCTCGCCGACGGCCCAAACTCTCCCATAAGCATTGCTTATGCTAGGCATATGTCGAAAGCAGGAGCTTATCAGATCTACATGTCGCTTCGTCCCTAGCTCCCTGCGAAACACTAAACACCAAAGTACTACCCTGCCGTTTATCAGGGTCCCCACATATGTCGTTGCCTTTTCTGCACCGTAACGCAGGGTAGGTGACCAAACAGAGAAGAAAACTTCACCCAAAACGGCGTGACGTATCTGCTTGTAGACTACGTGGCGCACGGGGAGGTAGATTGGGCGTGCTTGGCGGATGGGGATCGTCACTGGGTATCTAAGCCTCATGTCGATCGTTGTGGTGGCTGATAGCGGGTAGTGGAGTGTGAATAGTGAAGAGTGAGAGGAAGGCTAGGATGGTCGGCGAGCATTGGGTAGTTTGTGGGATGTAATGACGGAAAAGAGATGGGGAGGAGGGTATTGGGGATATTGATCGTCGTGTCGTGGTCTTGGACGTGGGAGCATGGGATGGGATCGAGCAAGATCGAGTATCGTACGAGAGTAGTGTAGGCAGTGTAGCAAAAGGGGGCAAGACAAAGAAGGGCATCATGGGCAAAGGAATCATCTCCGCCATCTCGTCCATCAGAGATATATAAACCACCCTCATCTCCTCCAAAGGAAACTCATCATCACCACAGTTCTCATCTCATCATCTACAATACCTTCACATCACCACCACAACCAAACCAAACCAACCCACCAAGCCACCAAAATGCAGTTCACCATCTTCACCTTCACCGCTCTCCTGAGCCTCACCTCCGCCACCGCAGTCACCAAGCGTTTCCCCTACTCTGCCACCTCCGTCCAGGCTCGTCAGAGCGAGATCTGCGGTGGCCTCGCCACGCCATTGTGCTGCCAGACTGATGTCCTTGGTGTTGCGAACTTGAACTGCGCGAACGGTATGTTAAAACATCCTTTTCATTGAAGTGAGAAGAATGAGTGCTAATGTGTATAACAGCCGGCGCCGGTATCGAAACAACAGAGGACTTCCAGGCTGCTTGCGCTGAGGACGGCACGACGGCTCAGTGCTGCATTGTGCCGCTTGGTGCTGATGGACTGCTTTGCACTGCTGCTTAAGCTGTCTCCGACTTCAATACAAAGGTGTATTCGGGCATGCTAGATCTGCTGCTGTAGCAGTGAACCATCCAGAGATGTGGATGTATATAAGCGGTCAAGACGCTGCTGAGATATAGCGAAAGGGGTTTTACTGTTCTTGTTGTCACTGCCTACCACTCCTTTAGGTGGGACAGCTTATTTGTAGATATACTTGGAGA